AGGTAACAAACTGAGAGCATCAATGCTTTATGCCAGCTCGGTTTTAAGTTATCGAAATGACCCAACAAGCGATCCAAACATTCGCCAAATATTTAAGCGAAATGCTAAAACAGTGTAACTTTAGGAGTTGGCGAGTTTTTAATATCACGGTGGTGATTTGTAAGCAGAACTATGTATATATGTATGTATGTAATGTATGTAATGTATGTATTGTACATTCTGCGGACTTATCTCTTTTGGAACGTTTAGCTTTCAGATTACGCTTCTGGTTCAGCTGATTCTACGTTGCGGATATTTTGAAGAGTAAAATGGGTAAAAATAAAATTGCAAATCGAGTACGCGAAGCCTTAAAATAATACAAAATTACTTACAGTGTATTTATGCAACAAAAATGAGCTTCATTACATAATGCACTCTTTGCCATAGAATAAGTACGAATACGATCATTAAGCTATGTGGCAATTAAATGGATTATTTGCAAGACAGACACGCAAACGGCAAGCAGCTAATCACACTGTTACAAGAGTTAATACCAAAACAATCTTTTATGATAGGAACAAAATAGAGAAAACTGTGAAAAAAAGATCTACATAAGTATGTATAAAAGCAAGAAAATAGTGGTGAAGCCTATGTAATAACAGACCGAAGAACTTATTATTGGGGAGGTAAAGGACCAGCAAAGAGCATAGCACATTTTGAATGTCATCAAACAGCTAAACATACAATGTAAAACGAGCTAAGAAAGAAGAAACTAATTTGGTGTTCAATAATGCATATATTTGTATGTATGTATGTACATATATGTAAATGCGCATACCACATGAAAGAACATTTATTTGAAAATTCTTTTTCACATGCCTAATTGAAATGTCACTGCTAAATGAAGCATAGCCGTTTGTGTTGAACTCGCACAGAAAAAAGGACCACTAACTGTGCACTTCTTTGGATATGCGGAGTTGGTAAAGTAGGATCATTCTTTTTGTTTTTCAATAAATATGTCACTAATGAGTTGCAAGACCAATTGAAATATTAGAATTAAATTTACTTAAAGTATGTTTTTCGTGGCCAGTATCCGCTGCATCATATTCAAATGCTTGGGGAAACTTTCCATTATGGCCGTTCGTTAAAGGTGTGGTGGGCGAAGCGGGAGTGGGCGTGGCACCGCCATTGACAAAAATGCAACCCCCGACCACCTAGGCCCCCTATGGTTTCCTACGGACCCCTTAGAAAACTGGCCGAAAATCGCAATTTTTACTTGCGTCCACAGTATTTTTTGCGTAGAGTTCCTTTCTGCGTAGGTGGCCTTCGGCCGCGCTTAGGGATTATAACCCTTACTACGTAGAATTCTCCTTTCTGTGTGCACCTAACTGGGGCTACCGCCCCAGTGATGTAACCTTGGGAAAGGATGAGGTAACTAGAATTCCCTTTCTGTGTGGGAAACCTGGGGCTGCCGCCCCAGTGATGTCTATTTTGGTTACTGGGTGTTTTATAAAAATGTCTTGTATATAAAAATGTGTATATAAAAATGTATTGTGCAAATGAATATTTAACATTTTTCAAGCGAATAAACGCAAATGAAAATTGTGATTTTTGGCAATTTTTCTAAGGGGTCCCTAGGGAACCATAGGGGACCTAGGTGGTCGGGGGTTGCATTTTTGTCAATGGCGGTTCATTCCCTCTCCAAAAAGGTGGGTTAGAGGTGCCACGCCCACTTACCTTTCGCCCACCGCCCCTTTAACGAACGGCCATAAAGGAAAGCCAACCCAAATGTTTTCCTTGGCTGGAAGGTAGACGATAAAACTGGAATTTAGAAGAACAGTAATACATATACATACACTAAACAGCAGAGCCGCACATTCAGTTGTTTAGTTATAAGCGAATTTTCGCTTTAAAAATTTCACACTCTGCCAATATAAATTGGTCTAGTACATGTTATATTGATATCGTAAACGATATAGCCACAAACATGTTGCGCTAAACCACTTTTTTAAAGATTAATGAACCTACCCTGAACTACCAATTATTTCCACTTCTCCACTTACATCACACAGATTCATGAAAACCACTCTGAAATTAAATCGAGCATGTAAAATGGAATACAATGAAGTGTATGCAAACTGACAAAAAAAATAATGACCCCTGCTGATGACAGATTTACGTCCAACAATAAGCGGATAGAGTGTTAGGTAAATGCTACAATTCGAGAAAATCCTTTAAACATCATAAACAAGCAAAAAAGCTTGTCTATAAGTACCTTTTTAAATGTTTTCAAAAAATAAGTATACATAGTATATGTATATTAGTTTGCCACAAACTAGATACAGCATTGATCCATCCTTTGCAAGGCCCAGTAATCAGCGCTTGTGCTGCTGAGTTTGGCGAACGTTCCAAAAGCTGCTATTCAATCGCTTGTTTTGTATGGAAAAGGGTTTCACATGCAAATAGATTTTAACAATTTAGAATTTTTGTGAGAATAAATTTGGATGACCATATTTACGGCTCCCTTAATTATATGTTCTTTGAGATAACGAAACTGCTGCAACGTCCAAAAAATGGCTTTAGGGCTAGAGTACACCGAGACTTCTATTTAATTAATAAAGAAAACACTGAAAATCGGGATTTAAGCGATACAAATATGAAAAATCGTCACGACTTTTAAAAAATATTCAGCGGGACAACTTTCTCAAAGTCGCCAAAATCGGTACGAATGGTCACCGTAAGTATTTATATATGCTTTTGTTAGTCTGACCGCAGTTACTAAAAAAAAAAGTATTGCTGAATTTGTAGGAGGAGCCGAAGTAATAAATTTATACAAAGCGAGTAGATAACCGAGTTAGGATGTGGCTGCTTTGTACCAGATCTATTTGATCACGATCAGATGAATGAAAGCAAGTGTGTTAGCATGGACGCACACTCGAATACGAAAGATTTCACTCTACTGCTTTTTGCACTACACAAAGTAATTCATGTGCACAAAGTCATGGCTGTGCGTTAGTCATGGCGAATAGTCATGGAAGTTGTCATGTTCCGCAAATGAAAATTGGTGTGGAAAGTATTAATAATTTCTTGAAAACCTTGGAAATACTGAATTTCAAAAATGCTGCATTAAAAAGAACCCCCTATTCAGAAATGCATTACATTAAAGCATCAGTCTCTTTTATTTTTAATCAATATACATATGCGATATGCGCAAACACGGTTAAATGCCGAATCGGATCTTAGTTGCGCAAAATGGGAACATCATGAATTATAATTTAGAAATAGAAGAGCCTGATGCTTTGGTTTGATGTATTTTTTCCGAATAGGGGGAGGTATTATTCCTACATAACCGAGACGGTAAATATGTAAATCTACTGGTTTAATCATTGCAGAGTATAAAAAATTTAGGATTATCTACGAACTCGTGATTTATATTTATATGTCAAAAAGGAGGGTTCTTGTTTTTTTTTAGCTTATTTATTTATTTAATTAGGCAATGAAATTCTTATAGGATAAGTGGAATGCAATATAATAAAATCACTCGTAAAATAAGAACAAGAGAGGAAATAACTAGTTATACAAAGATTAAGGGGAGTTCTTGAAGCGACTTCAAGGCCCTAGTAATAGGAGCATTTCGAGCAAACATGTCGGGGAAATACGTTCACCTTCACCAGAATATTACATACATATGTACATTTGCAAGAATAAACTCACCTTTCCAGTTCGTTGTTTAGGAATTTGTTCGTGGTGCGAATGCCAACCACATGCGTTGAAATTCATCCTCGAATTGTTCCAACAGCATTTTATTCGAGCTGATTACAATGTTTTCCCAGTTACCACCAAAGCCCTACAAATGTTAAGAAATGGTATAAATTCAGTTTTTTTTTCTGATAATACTTTGTACATATGTGTGTATATGGTCACCTGCATCGTCCAGTTTAATGAGCCTGACATGACGATGCCCTTAACATTTTTTGAATCATAAGTTTTGCCGACGTTGGCTAAAACAGAGCGGGCGCGCTTCGGACCATCAAGTAGGCAAAATTTATGATGCATCAGCATTGTGGTCAAAGGACAGCGAACTGGTACACCTGTTAAGAGCAAATAGACAGCGTTATCCGAAAAGTATAATATAATGTTGCAAGGACAGGGATTTCAGCCTACCCATTTTTTCTAGTGAAACTATTGTACAAATACAGCAAAACAACAATCCTAAATTATGAACCATTCTTCACTTTGTTATCGACACGCAATTCGAACAGATTCAAGCAACGAAGATTCATCGCATCGTTTCTATGCACAGCCGAAAAATATACTACAATTTTATACACATAGCAAGTGCTGGCAAAGCAGTGCGTTGTATTAAGGCTGCCAGATTTCATTTTTATTTAACCCTTAAATGTACCAAAAAAGGGGATTTATAATTAATTGTTTTGTTGTAGTCTTTGTTTATTTTAAAAATGTCTACCTTGCAATTACATGTTTATTCTAGCCCTAAAGAGCACGAATGAAATCACATACGTTTAACTATGTATGCATGTATGTATGTAAGTGTTGCAGCGGGGCGGAGAACGTATAGAAATAGAAATATAAAAATTTCTATACGTTCTCTGGCGGGGGCTGGTACCACAAAGATTTGCACATGGCAACATGTGAATTGGCAGGGCATTGCACCAAAAAGCGTATATATAGCCATTAATACAAATTGCAATTCGTGAAAACAATAAATGCAGAAATTATATTCTTAGATGCTTTTATAAGATAAATACTGCCATTCCAAAGAGAAGAGCTTGCTAGGTGGGAAGATGTGAACGCTATGAGCGCACGTGGTTCAATCGGTTGCAAGAAAATTTATAGAATGGGACCGTAGCCGCGACACAACTTCCAACACGGCCCCAATTTTTTTTTGGTTGTCGGCGCTTGTCTTCGCAGCTTTGTAGTTAAGGCTTGATTATTTTCAAGGTAATTATGGTCCGTTTTTCTGTTTGCTTCGATGGATATATGTATGTATATAGATACTTTTATAGCACGTCGATTTGCATGTACATATGTATGTACATGAACATGCAGGCATACAGGCATACAGGCATGTACATATGTATAGATATTATTATGGGCTTGGTAATAATTAAGTTTCTTGGAATTGTTATAGAAATCAATTGATTCGTATTTTTGATTGTCAAACCTCATTTTTTGGGTTAAACTTGATAACAACATACTTATCGTTTTCAAGGTCAAATCGGAGTTCTCAATGCAACAACGGTTGCAGTAGCGCATGACATCATCAGCTGATGAGCGACAAAGTAATCTTTAGGTTTTATAAGTTTCAGTAAGAAATATTGCAATCATATTCAGCATTTATTTACCTGCCTTCGTCAATGCTATAATCTGTGAGCCACTGGAGTACACCATTTCGTTGTCACTTATGATGCGCACAGACACTCCTCTGCGAATAGCTCGCAGAAATGCCTGCGACAGATCGTAGGATGTAAACGTATACATGGCCAGATCAATTGTATATTTTGATTTATCAATTAACGAAATTAGTCGCCCGACATTGTTAGCAGCACAAAAGCGATTTTTACACGAAGGACTAGCACTTGCAGTTGGAGTTGGTAGTTTGGCAATATGCCCATTCTCGACCATGCCACTTGTAGGGCTCTCTTGCGTAGGGCTCTTGCGCTCGGATGGAGATTTCAGTATGTGTCCACCTGCACAACCTTGTGTCAGCTCATTCGTCCAGATGACTTCGGCCACTTCGTCGTCAGATGCATCGCGACGCCACAATCGTTCGCGCACGTACAAATAGCCACGATATACAATTTCTGACAACAACACTGTCGATATGCCTGCAGTCAGGCTATAAAAAGTGTAGCGCAACACCCGATTTTCCAACATTTTCTT